GGGAGAGGGTTTGCCGACAGTACCAGTAAAAGCTTCGTTATACAGCTATCGCCATTTACCGCACCCGTTGACCACATACCTCATCCTCTTGTACAACTTCCTTTCTTCTCCATGTCGGCAACCAAAAACGTCGATTAGGTCATAACCGGGGCGGCGTCGGGGCACCTGTACGTCTGGTCCGGCCGGAACTGCGTGCGCTCGGTGCGTGGCCACTACGGCTCGGTGACCGCCATGTTTTCGGGTCCCTATGGTCTCATCTCGGGGGGAAAGGTGCGCGCCCAGAAAGGGGCAAGTACGGAGGCTTTGGGTTGATGGTGGTACAATATTGTGGTTTGCTGTTTCAGGACGGTACCATGTACATACGCCTGGCGGAGCTAGGTAATTGTCCCGCAGAGACGTGGCCGGTGACTGCAGATGCGCAGAGCGAGTGTCGTTTAAAAGGACAAACAGTTCCAGCCGGGCTTTTTGTAGTGCCGAGTGAACCTGAAGGCAAGACATAGAAGAACGGACACAAACTGGAGTATTATGCAACTTGACAATATGCTTTTCGTCTTCAATAATTAGCTTGCTGTAGCCAACCCTCTGAGTAACTCTGACCGTGTTGAATTTGTTGTCCAACATCCGCCAACAAGTAGCAAATACTCTCCTTCATGGCCACAGCTATTGCTGCTGCTGTCGCTGTCGCTGTCGCTGTCGCTGCCGCGTATTGCGTGTGAAAATCATTTCAAATCCACACCCAATATCAAAATGGACGATGCCACACACGACGGTAGGACATGCGCGTCAGGCTTTGGAGCCCCAAGATGGAACCTGGGGCAACCTTCGACATGAGCGCCTTCGGACCCTGCCCCATCGTGCACAGCCTGTGCCTCGCCAACGACGGGACCAAGCTTCTCGTGGGGGTCAAGGGATGCGAGGTACGCATGAGGTTCACGCCCACTGTTCACAACACAGTTTTTGACACGGGAAGAACATGATAGTGACTAGCAATGCCAAGAGAGGTGAGATTTAGGGCCAGCATGCACCAAGAAAACGCTCGTGTACGGCAACGTTCGGGGGGGGGCTTTACGGTTGTGAAAGGGGTGTATCACAGCCAGTATGGGCAAGACATAGGTCGATCGTATACCAGCTAAATTTGAATCGGTGGACTGTTGGTTTTACTCTAGTGGTAGGACCAAATCCCTCATGAACGGCAGTACGGGGTTCGGAGGGAAAATTTCCGCGTCAAAGACCTTACTTCCGCCAGGTTTGTTCTTACGTTCAGTCCTTGAAAAATCAAAATCCGAACGTGTAGCGCGACGTGCACCAGATTTAAGCCTGTTCCTTTTCTCGCGAAGATCTGAAACGGACACAACGGCAGCCTGAACGTTTTCTGCACGATACATTGGCAGGTCCAGCGTCGTTTGTCGCATGTTTTTCGACTCTTGCACGTTGTCGTTCTTACCATTCTGTTGCTGCTGTTGATCTGTACTAGCAGAGTGTATCAAGCTGGTGGAATCGCATTCAGAACAGTCCGTCGCAAAAACCGCAGCAGTCGTTCTGGCGCTCACGTTGAAACTTCTTCCACTTTGTCAGATCTACGAAGTTAGCGCTGCGGACGGTTCAGACGTGGCCGGCGGACCCGTGACCACCTCACACTTTGACGGGAAGCTTGCTGGGTTGGCAAGGCATCCGCAGAGAGCTGAATACGCCACCGCTGGGTCTGACGGCACGGTAAGGGCTTTTTCAGCCTACGTTCGCCATCGGGTCGAGGATCGACGATCAATTTGAATATGCTGCACTGCTGTGGTTAGATACAAAATAGCAATCATCATCAGGCTCCCCTGTACTATCTGTGCAGTGCCAAGGGTGTCATCGTTATGCTCCTCCCCACCCTACCGGATGAAGAGGCTCTCCGAAAGCATCGAACAAAGTGCTTTGATGCTTCGTTGGTGTGGGAATGCAGCAGTTCGTCTGATCCCTTCGGTTATGCTTGGTCCGTGGTGAGCGGTGACCAATAATAGGCCAAACGGATGACACACGGTCCATGGACACAACCGAACCCGTCAAGGGACGACCCACCCGCTCGTTGCGCAGCGTTGGCGAATGTACACTAATCACCTGGAAGAGAAAAACATACAACGACATCGAGATCACGAAGACTAATCACTCTAGCGCTTATCACTGCTGCGGCAACCAACGGCAACCACAATTCAAGAGCAGGTGCGAATCTGGGACGCTTCGACTCGGTCTCTCCTCCGCATGACGCGCCTTGACTCCGCGGCTTCATGCGTGGACTACTCCCCCGATGGCGAGCTTATCATCGTTGGCTTCGGCTCCCGCGAACGCTCCACGACGACGCCATCGAGGCAAGAACCTGTACACAACGTACCTGCAATACTCGAATGATTTTCGGGAGAAAGTGCGGCATGTTTTCGCTAGCGGGGAGCGGGGGGAGGCGATTGGCAGGACTAAGAGCGCAAGTGCGCAAATGTGTGTATCTGGAGGTGAACTTGACATTTTGTATCCGAACCCCTCCCTCAAGCAACGGTTTGACGCTCTCGCCAATCGCAGCGGCAGCAGCACAACCGAGTCTTCAACAGCAAAAAGCAGCAGCAGCGGGAGCAAAGGTCGGAGAGGCATTGGCGATGGTTCGGACAAGAGCAACACCAGCAACAGTAAAGGCCTTGGAAGCGAGGCCGGGAGCATCGATTCTGGCGGCGGCAATGCCAAGACTGGAGGATTCATCGTCCTGAATGAGGCTGATTTCATTACGGTGTTCGAGGCTAGGGATGCTAAGCAGGTATGTGGTACACTGCTTTCATTTCCTTCTTGACGGAGGGCAGACCTTTACGGCATGATCATTGCGTCGCGACCAAAAATGCAGCAACATGGTCGTTTATCAATGTGGGTGTTGGTTCGGTGTCGTGGTTGACAAGTATGAGAGACTAGCCTTGGCACTACTTCGCGCCACGGTCCCGCCTCATCCCCACGAAAATTCCAACACTTTGTATGAGAAGTTGTTTTGGCCTCCCTTCCAACGCCCACACCCTCAGTACGTCCTACCCAAATTATTTGCAACAACCCTCAACACTACCGGTATTACCTTGCCCTTCCCGGTTTCAGCCCAATTAACCTAGGCTTACCTGGAAACCGCGTCAATCACGCCCCAACGTTGATTTGTCTGAGCGCCGGAATCAGTCCTCAGCAAATAACACCGTAACTCACGGTCTAATTTTTTGCCCAATCCCATTTCTATTATCGATCTGTCGCTCCCAAAAACTTCAACTACGACATCGATTTTCCCACACCTGCCCCCCCCCAAATACGAACCAAACAGGGTATTATTGAGGTTCGTTGGTCGCCTGATCGAGACACGGTCGTGCTGGGCGGAGAGGATTCCAACCTGTACCTCTACGCGGCGGGCGAAAACTATGACCTCATCGCCACGGCGGCGAAGCACAAACACCCGGTAAAAAGGAAGCACAAAAGAGGTGGCAGGGTAGAGGGGTGAGAAAGACCGAGGAAAAGGGGATGGTAGAGAGATATGGTGGTGTGAAGCGTGGGAAGGATGTTGAACTTCTGCTCTTGGCGGCTAGGAGAGCACCTTTTTCAGTACTAGAGACACGACCAAGGCAACACTACTGTAGACGGCGTTCGACTCTGCCACGGTACGGAGTTAGGGAACACTTCTTTCAACCACAGTCTGCCAAGTTAAGGGAGAGCATCGAGCGTACTCACACGAATAAACGTGTTTACGCGGAGCCATCACGCGATCCATGGGTGTGACCCCTCCAAGGAACCCAAACTGGTTTGGTTTCATCAGGTGACATCAGTGGACTTCAGCAAGGATGGTGATTGGATTCGCTCCACCTGTGAGGGCGGACAGTTGCACATCTGGGACACCAACAAGGGAAAACATCAGGTATTAGCGGCGTGCTGCCGCACACTGGTGTCGGATGTTAACAGCTTGGCCCTATCATCCATTAGCTGCTACCTGGGGCGATAGAACAACACGTGTGAGCGCGATCTTTTGGTTCGCATCAATGCTTTGGCTGAAAGGGCGGCCGTCTCTTGTTTGCCACGCTGTGATGGCTGTGCCCTGTAGTCTTCATGTATGCGTCATTCGTTCGCTTTCGTCTAAGCCCTTGGGACACCCGCGGTCTCGAGACTGGCCCCGTACTACATGTACCGCCCGAAAATGAATTAACGGACAGCACCAGGACGAATTTGATCAAAGAAATCGACCATCCCGACGCCAACTCAACAGTTGACATGTTGTGGAAGATTTCACACAACGTCCAACCGCCCGCCCATTCGCTACGACCAATTTTGCGATGCATCAACTTTCCTTTACACTCGAACACTTGTCATTATTGCTCCGCTTGCGGTGTCTACGGTCCTTCCGTGGATCCGCAGAGCAACATCACAAAGTACAAGGACGTGGAATGGAGCACGGAGACCTGCGCCTTCACTTGGGCGACCAGGGTAAGGGTTTGGCGAAGGGCTTGGGCTAGTGTAAACGTAGTTTTACGATGGCGCACAAACGAACAGGTCGCACTTCGTCTGTGTCTCCTTTCCACGAGGCTGGCCGGAGCAAGCGGGCCTCTCATGACGTTAGGCTAACATTACCTCAAACAGGTGCCGTGAAAGTTTGAATGCCGCAGTAGCCTGATATAGGAGTCGTTTACTTCTAGGAGAATACGGGGAACGAAGAGCTTCCTTGTTGCACGCCAACTGCAGACAACGTTGGTAGGGTCGTGTTGCACCGTGTTCTCGAGCAACTATGCCGCAAAGTGAAACGACGCAAACCGGGGTTGAGAGAGAGGGCGGCGAAGAGCGTGTCCCCAAGACCAAGAAATGACTGGATGCTGGATGGAAAACCCACAACATTATTACTCATTGCTCGTCGCAGCTGATGTGAATGAATCCTCACGTGGTTATTGAGTACGACTGGACGTGCGCGCACGCCGAAGATCGAGGAATATTTTCCATGGGGCCCGTATCGTGAATCTCTCGTCATGAAAGATTCAATCAACACCAAGACCAAATCAACGAAAACACTCGTGGAAAACACGATAACATCTACAAAGGTGACAACAATTCTCATTGTACATCTCCAGGGCATCTTCACAAGGACGGAGGGAGACGGCGCGAGGATTGCCTGCACCGATCGCTCCCCGAATGGCCTGGTCTTGGCTGTTGGCGATGGCTACAGCCGGTTGCGGCTCTATCGCCACCCGTGCCCGGGAGACCGCCCGCCGCCCGCGCTGTTCCACGAGCTTAGGGGTCATGGATCCGGCGGAGTGAGCAGGGCGAGGTTCTTGCGCGGCGGAGAAGTGTTGGTCACTGTCGGGGAACGAGACAGGTACAGAAGCCTTCCCGCCCTGACTATTCAGTTTTGCTCTTCAGGTATAGTGGGAGAGAGGGATGTTTTCATCTGGCCATGCTCATGACGCGGTAGAATGAACCCTTCGAAGAGAACTAAGATTAGTACGTGGACCACGTAGCTGCTCGAGCCGTTGATGTTGCTGACGTTGCAATGGGTACACGCGTACAGTTTCAATGAAATTCGATGATAACCATCGGGGAACAAACCGACTAAGGAATCCGGGCTTGACACGAGAATATTTTCTTCAGGAAAACTCACGTCCGCGAAACAGCTTCGCTTCTTCATCTGTGATTTCAATAATCAACATGTCTACTCTCGTGTGCTGTTTGAGGCAGCGTGAATACAACGAAAATTTCGAAGCATGTTCAGGTTGACTTTCGCTGTAGACTAGAGTGTTCATGCGTCCACTTTGAATCAATCGTTTCACTAAAACCAGGTGTGTCTTGCAATGGAAGCTGAGCGGAGCAGGAGCTGGAGATTCCCGCAGCGGAGAGTTGAAGGACAGCGCGGAAGCTGTTGCCGAGGAAGAGAGTGACGGCCACATATTGGATCTAAAGGACGGAAGTGACTTGGACAGAGGGAGCGACTTCGAGACAGCCGCGGAAGAGCGAAGGAGAGCGCCGGTGAGAAAGAGACAGAGAAGGCAGAACGAACTGGAACGTCTCGTCACCATGGGGTAACTTCTCACAGTTCTTGCCGCCTCTGATGTCGCAACTGCTGTCTTGGTGGTTTTAAGACGGGACTGGCAGTGTGACGGGGAGAACGTTATAGTCTGGAAAGTAATGTCAACCGTATTCGTCGGATGTCGGGGCTTTAGACTATGTAGACTACATTGTTGGGGAAGAGTGTACTAGGGGTGAGCTCCCGTGCCAAAGAGTGAAGGGATTGGGATCAAAATAGGCGACACTGAAGTCCGCGCACATTGATATCGGCGATGGTGTCTGTTTTTTTCGCACGCGGGCTCGAGAGTATGTGAGTATTCTTAGGTAACTGCAGGCACGTGGTTGTCGTCGTAACTGGCATTTTTTCCGTGGGTAATACAACACGACTTTTTCTGTGGGCCAACCAGTAAAGAGGCGCTTCCCTCCCACGCGCACCAGTCGTGTCACAAAATCCAGTACAGATGAGTGCTTGCTTTTCAAGTCCTACAGAGGAGGGAATTATCCTAGTCTTTGGGGAGACAGGGCCTGTCTCAAAGATCTCCACATTGTCCGCATGATGTCCAGGGGCCGATACCTTGTTTACTAGACTAAACAAGAAGATGCTCGTAACAGGATGCCCGACTCACGGGCAGTCATTTACTTTTGCATCATATTTCATCTCTTCACGATTCTGTGTGCCGTAACAACACGGGGTCGCTAGATCCGCCACGTCATCGGAGGTGCCACGAGTTCGAAGATCTACTGTAGTGCTGCCCCCCACGGCTCCCTTTCATTTTTCGTTGTCTATTCGAAATATGCATAACACGATGTAGTTGGACCCGTTTCTCTGACAGCATGTCCAGACTCTCTTCACCAGCGCCAATGTGAGACGAGGGAACCGTACTTGACAGGTGATAGGGAGATGGAACCGTTTTTCAACGATTACCCGTTACTACCTACCTAGCCAAGCTTTCCGGACTCAGAAGCGAGTCTAATTGTAGGACGGAGGTGGTTGGCGCGGACGCTCAGAACGGCACCAGCATTTCCAGCAAGTTTCACCCCGTTTCCTGTTATTACGTCACAATCAAGCCTGCTGACTAATTCCACTCACTCACCCTGTGGACTTGTATGAGCCTGACGTTGACCGGAACCACGCTTGTCTCAACCCCTTCCCAGGCCTGTGCGGGAGCACGAAAGCGCAGACGCGCGGCGGTCGCATCGGACCAAGGGCCAGCAGAAACGACCAATACTGCCGCCGGCACTGGTTTTGACGGGGGCAAAGCATCGCTTCCGCCGCCACTACGGCCATGGGAGCAGGCGACGGTGGCACCATCCAGACCCCCGCCGACCGACAAGAGTGCACCTGCTGACGGCGTTGAGCTGGAGAGGATTCACGGGTACGTAGTGAGCTAGACAGAGGGAGAGGGTGAGAGAGAGGGGGGGGAGGGAGAGCGAAGCAGAATGTAAACGCGTTAAGTATTACATTTCGAGGACGATGAACATACTTGTATGTTAGATCGTCGAAAAGGCGAAGGAGTCGTATGTAAAGAATATACTCAAAATTGTTCGTGCCGGTTCTCGACACGGCCAACTCGTCAAGAATAAGGAATACGTAAACCTCGCATATGAGTGAAAGCCTATCTTGTCGACTTCCTTTTTCACTCTTTTGCCCCTCTCCATGATGCGATTCTGCAGCTATCGCGGTCGAGACTCCAGGAGCAACGCGGTGTACGCCGGAGCGGACGAGGTTGACTGTGGCGGTGGCTGCAACCGTGCCGTCTACACCTCGGCCGCCGCGGGGGTCAGCCTTGACCTGACCAACCACACACAGGTACACTAAATACTTGTCAGCATCGATTTTGTCACGCCAACGACATACTAGTGTACTTGATGCGACAGTAGTTCCCAGGGTCGGGTTCGTGGGCAACAGGACATCTTCAGTAGCGGTGGTGGGCACACTGCCGTGAAAACATCGGGAAGTGACCGCCTTTGCCGCCGTTTCCTAACTCTGCATCAACCCTCGTTTTGGGCGCTGAGCGCATAGCCTCTGCCACCGCTGATGTCGTCCTTGGTACCATACTGGGACCCTGAATACTCCTCGATCCCCTTGGTTGGGGTTATTGGAATGATCTTCACCTCGAAAGGGATGAACCGTCAATGGTCGACTAACGAAGCATGTAACCGTTGATCACCCCCTCGTGGTGAGAGCCGCCGTGTTCTGCCCTGTAGGGATATGGTCGAAGCACCTGCGACCACAGGACAATGCATGCATTGCCATGACAGAACTCACCTTCACGTCTTTGTCACAAGCAGAACTTCCAGCTTGGGCACTCAGGGGACGCCACCTGCCTGACCTCGTCGCCTGATGGACTGCTGGTGGCCAGTGCGGACGTGTCAAGGCGGCCCAGCATCATCGTCTGGAAGCCAGACACTGGCGAGGCGGTCAAGGTAGAGAGAAAGAATGCCACCCCCGCGAGAGCCCGCGCCTTCATCTTGGAAGCGCCTACCATTTGCCGCAATATTCTCAAACCGCTGTTCAAAGCCCATGGGGCATGCACTAATGCCGATGTGGTTCGAGGTTTATGTGAAGTCTTCGCGGGTTTCGTGCTCAGTTACCCTCCCTTTCCCTGCTCTTCACCCAACCACATGTTTATCTCGCCTGCGATGATGTTAAGGGCATCTCGCTGCCTTCGACATGGTGCCGGGATTGTCGGACGATTTCCGTTTCCAATATTTGTTTAACGTATTTTCCTCCCAAAAACGGGTTCGGGTCGTTGAAACGTTAACTCCTTCCCCCGGAGGGCACGGCCGCCTTTCGACCAAAAGCTGTGGTTACTGTCATCGTTGCGCCCGCCATTTCCTTCCTCCTCCCGGAAATGCAGAACGAGCATGTCTCCGTTTCCTTCAAAGAAGCCTACCCCCGCCCCTGACCCCTCTTTTTGGCGGCAATATCCGTGTTCTTGACGATTGTCACGTCGTCGCGACGACACTTGCCACATCGTGCTGTGATCTATTTCGGATACACTGCCATTTGGCAGATCCTGTCGGGGTTCCACAGGAGGGCAATCACGGCGCTGTCATTCTCTAGGGACGGGCGGCACCTGGCTTCACTTGGCTGCGATGACGACCATAGCCTTGCCATCTACGACTGGGAGAACAGCTTGCTCAGGGTAAGGAACGGACCCACCACAGAGCGAGAGAGTGGGAGCGGTGGGGTCAGCGTGAAAGGAGGCGACCTACCTGGGCCTTTTCTTCGATACGCATCAATTTTATTCGAGTTTCTTGCAGTAGGTTTCCATGAAGGTTGACTCTTGCACTGCGTTTCCAGGAAGGTTGGGATGCAAAGGAGGGTGCTGGATTCACTTGATGTTGTCCCAGAAAGAAATGGAATGCAGATTTCCTGTATTAAATGGCGCTAGTTCCAGGCACTGCCGAAAATCCGAACCTTGAGTTTGGTTCGATTAGACTTGGGTCACCACTAGTGGAGACGTTTCTTTACCGCGAGGAACATCCTAGAAACCCTTGATGTTTGATACTACACTCGCGCGCAATGCTACTCTGCAAACGCACCAAAACATGGAAAATTAAACGATCTTCAAGGCCACTGCCAAAGGAGGGCGGCGCAAGGCGCTCGATGTTGCGTGGAACAGTGCGGGAACACGGCTGGTCACCTGCGGGCTACGGCACGTCAGCTTCTGGAACTTCGCCGGGGGTCGGAACCTCCTTCACAGCCGCGGGGTGTTCGGAGGGAAGGGGAGGAAGCAGACGCTACCTTCTTGCGTGTTCGTCGGGGACACTGCCGTGGTGGGTCCCCCGTCTTTGTGGAGACTTGGGTCAGTTGTTGCTTGCATCCCACTCCCCCCCGCGGAGCCTTTTGTGATTTCGTCGTAAGTTGCCGTTTTCAGTACCTGCAGCGAGTTACATGCCTGAAAGGCACGAGTCCCCACCGATGGCGGTTCGTTGGTTCATCCCCCGTTTTACTATTGTTGTTGCTGTTGTTGTTGTTGTTGTCTTCACATTAAAAACCGTTCCGATCTCTCTCTACCCAGTACCTTCGTATGTCCGTACTGATCCAACACTCGACGCGGTCGATTCCCGTGGTCGCAGGCTAACTTACCCTAAAAAGGTACACTCAAATAAAATGGCCCCGAGGGGTCCGCAAGTCAATAGAAATCAATGACAGATATTCTGGAGTCCTCCACTCCCTCTGCGCGCTATGCGAGGTAACGACTGAGACTAGGGGTCACCATCACGGGCCGGAGAGAATGAGGTACACCCCCTTGGTTCAATCTTGGTACCTCACAACGCAAGCAGAAACAAGGCCATCTGGCACAGAAAAGGGAGAAAAATAGAACAAGAGAAAAAGAAGAAAATAAAGGGAAACAGTAAGCAAAGAGAAAATGAAATAAAAAGAGCGAGGACAAAAAGGGACCAGGCCGAAAATAACAAGAAATAAGAGACAGAACAAGGCACACGGTGGAGAGACCACTAACGCAAGAA